AAAGAGGAAAATGAAAAGAAGGAGGAGGAGGAGGGGGAGGAGGAGGAGGGGGAGGAGGAGGCGGAGGAGGAGTAGGAGGAGGAGGGGGAGAAGGAGAAGGAGGAAGAGAAAGAGGAAAAGGAAAAGGAGGAGGAGGAGGAGGAGGAGGGGGATGAGGAGGAAAAGGGGGAGGAGGAGGAGGCGGAGGAGGAAGAGGAGGGGTAGAGGGAGGAGGCGGAGGAGGAGGAGGAGGCGGAGGAGGAGGCCAGGATGGATCCCAAAAAGATATTAACCTGGGTTTGCAATGTTTCGCGACCAGGGTTCATAATGTCTAATCCAGAACATTATGAACCTGGGTTAACAATATTCTGGGAATATTGTTTGTGGTTCATATTTTTCCCCCGGAACATTATAAACCTTGGTTTTTAATTTTCTGGGGATATTCATCCCAAAAACATATGAACCTGGGTTTAAACTGTTCCGGGAATGTTAACTGGGTAATGTTCCGGGATAGTTGACTAGGGTTCATCAAGTTCCCCCCGGAACATTATGAACCTGGATTAAGATGTTCTGGGGATACTGATTGGGGTTCATCATGTTCCCCCTGGAACATTATAGACCCTGGTTGATAATGTTCTGGGGATATTCATCCCGAAAACCTATTAACCTGGGTTTATAATGTTCCAGGAATATTGATCGGGGTTTACAATGTCCCGGGAATACTGAACCCGCTTTTCGTAATCCCGGAATGATATCAATTATTGGTTCCCCCCTTTTCCCAGGTTCCTCACCAGGTTCTTCATGTCGGAATATAGACCCCGGTTCATTATCTCCAGAAGATCGGACTCATCTTGTTCCCGGAATATGGACCCCGGATTCATTATTCTGGAATGATAATGATTGGCCCTGGGGGGCGCAGTTGCATTCCGGACCGGTTTTCTTAAAGCAAACACGCTGACGAGCAGGGAACGGAGACGTGCGATGATGAGAGCACGATGGGGATTATATTGGGATGCGGTTCGGGGAAGAGGAGGACCGTTTTCATACGCACGTCCTTCTCGTTTTACTCGGGCGCGTTTTTTCCAGGGCAAGCACGCTGACGTTGCAGGGGAAGAAAGGCTGCCATGCTGAGGGCATGGCGGTGCTCGGACGGGCCTAGGATTGAGGATGCGGAAAGGGAAGAATTGGTTATATATGGACGACGTTCTGGTTTTATTCGGGCCTGGTTTGTTTCCAGGACAACCATGCTCACGTTGGATGGGAAGGAAGGGTCCGAGGCTGAGGGTATAGCGCGTATGAGGCGGCGCCAGAATTCAGGATGCGGATCGGTGGATTGGTTTTCATGGGGACGTTGTTCTGGTTTTATTCGGGGGCAGTTTTTCCAGGGCAGGCGTGCCGATCCAGAGGTGAATGAGGAGTGCGATGATGAGGGCATGTAAGGGATTGGGATGCGGATGGGGTTCAGGATGCGGCTTGGTGGTGGTGGTTTTCATAGAGACGTCGTGCTGGTTTTATTCGGGTGCATTTTTGTCTGGGCGGGTTTCTGCTGACGTCGACGGGATGGAAGGGTGCGATGATGAGAGCTTGGGCGATTTGGAATGTGGATGGGGTTCAGGATGCGGGTTGGGGATGGTGGCTGTCATAAAGGCGTCGGTCTACTTCATTCGGGAGTTGCATAGCCAGGGCAAATGTTATGAGGTAGCGGGGAGGAAGGAGGTGCCCTGATGAGGGCGTGAAGAGATCGAGGATGAAGGCGAGGTGTTGGGCCCTCATGGGGAGCTCTTGGGGGCCTCTTGGAACCCTCCTGGAACCCTCTTGGGGCCCTCCTGGAACCCTCTTGCAGCCCCAAGAGAGCTGTAAGAGGGCCGTCAAAGGGCTCCAAGAGCCCCTGAAGAGGGCCCAACACCTTGTCACGAACAAGGCCCTTGGTCGTGACAAGGTGTCGGGCCCTCTTGGGGGCCTCTTGGAACCCTCCTGGAGCCCTCTTGGGGCTCTCTTGGAGCCCCCTTGGAGCCCCACCCCCTTGGAGCCCCAAAAGGGCTCCAAGAGGGCCCCCACAGGGCTCCAAGGACCCCCCAAGAGGGCCCGACACCTTGTCACGAAAAAAGGTTTGGTTCGTGACAAGGTGTTGGGCCCTCTTGGGGGGTTCTTGGAACCCTCCTGGAGCCCTCTTGGGACCCCACCTGCACCCCCTTCAGACATTCCTGGAGCCCTCTTGGGGCTCTCTTGGAGCCCTCTTGGAGCCCCAAAAGGGCTCTAAGAGGGCCCCCGCAGGGCTCCAAGGACCCCCCAAGAGGGCCCGACACCTTGTCACGAAAAAGGGCTTTGTTCGTGACAAGGTGTTGGGCCCTCTTGGGGGGCTCTTGGAACCCTCCCGGGGCCCTCTTGGGGCCCCACCTGCGCCCCCTTCAAACATCCGTAGTCGTTTTGGCACAAGCTTCTTCCAAGCATCGCGGCACACATGGATCTCTCCGAACAGCGCAAGTTGCTTCGGGCAGAGCGGCAATCGGAGAAATCCACGGGCGCCTCCAGCAGATTCCGCGGCTGAACCCCGGGAGAATCCAAGTGCGACTTTATCGCCGAGAAGCTCGGTGTAATTGAGCACCGCTCGCCAGCGGCATGGTCGGGCATGCTGAAGAGAGCACGGGCTGCAGCGACGGCTGCGGATAACGAAGCTGCTGCGAAGGCCGCGGCCAAGAAGGCGAGGCTGGACTCGCAGAAAGCAGAACTGACGCACGCCGGCCTGGGCGAGGAGGAGTTTGTAGACGACGTCGGCTCCTGGATCGCCCGCTGGCCCTCGTATTCATCCGCTCTATCGCCCCCGACTCCACTCTGCATTCCCTGCGCGCCCTCGGCATCGCACCTCTCTCCCCCCTGTGCGAGAAAACGTCTGCCACGAAGAAGCCGCTCCCAAATGAAACTAGGCCGACACCCTAGCAAGAGCCACTCCCCCGACCCGCATCCGGCCACTCCCCCGACCCGCATCCGGAACCCCATCTCCATCATCCCCCCCCCCACCCCCTCCCCCCCCCCCCCCCCCCCCCCCCCCCCCCCCCCCCCCCCCCCCCCCCCCCCCCCCCCCCCCCCCCCCCCCCCCTCCCCCCCCCCCCCCCCCCCCCCACACCCCCCCCCCCCCCCCCCCCCCCCCCATTGTTCTCACCATCGGACCCCCCCCTTTCCCGCCCACGTCGGCAGGTCCGCCCGGCAAAAAACGCACCCGAATAAAACCAGAACGACGCGCCTATGAAAATCAGCCCCCCGCGAAGAGGAAAACGAGGGGGAGGAGGAGGAGAAGGGGGAGGAGGAGGAGGAGGAGGATAATCCTAGTTCAAGTCTACTTGCGTCGCCCACCCGCGTTTCCAACGAAACCGACGCCCTCGTGGTATTACTCTGTTGTAGCGACGTTCAGACGCCGCCGAGACGGCCCAGATTTGCCAAGAATGCACTTCGATTGTGCGCGTGCATGTTTGCGTGTGCGTGCGCGCGTGTGTCTGCCCGTTCGCGTTCGCGCGTGCGCGTGCTGGTGCGTGCGCGCTGGTGTCTGTGAGTGTGCCAGTGTGTGTGTGCGTGTGTGTGTGTGCGTGTGTGCGTGTGTGTGTGTGTGCGTGCGTGTGTGTGTGTGTGCGTGTGTGCGTGTGCGTGTGCGTGTGCGTGTGTGTGCGTGCGTGTGTGTGTGTGTGTATGCGTGTGTGTGCGTGTGTGTGTGTGTGCGTGTGCGTGTGCGTGTGCGTGTGCGTGTGCGTGTGCGTGTGCGTGTGCGTGTGCGTGTGCGTATGTGCTGGTGCGTGTGCGTGTTTGCGTGTAGTGTGTTGTGTGCGTGTGGCGGTGTGTTGGTGTTGCGTTGCGTGTGCGTGGTGTGTGTGTTGTGGTGGGCGTGTGGGTGTTTGGGCGGTTGCGTGTTTGGGTGTGTGTGTGTGCGTGTGCGTGTGTGTGTGTGTGTGCGTGTGTGTGTGTGCGTGTGTGCGCGCGTGCGTGTGTGTGTGTGTGTGCGTGCGTGCGCGCGTGCATCGCGATCGCGACCGACGCGGCGATTCATCTCCCTGCGCCTCGCCCCGCGAACCCACTCCCACGCGGCTTCTCTTAGCAGGGCGCCGCCTCAACTATCTTCGCCCGTAACACATCGGCTCAAACTCTCCTCAGCTACCCCCGACTCCCCTCTTCCACGGTTTAGTCCGTGTCCAGGCAGCTACCCCGTGCATCCGCAGACCTCTGCGTCGCGGCTGTCTCCAGGGGGGCGCCTCGATGCGCTGGCTGCGGACCTGCTTGCCGGGAAGATTGGCGACGCGCCTGCAGTTTGAGGCATTTCCGGTGCGTTCGCCGACGTCCTTGCAGGAAACGATTCGCGCATGCTTGGCGCGCCCACGACAGACGCCCCCGCGCGCGGCTGCGCAGGCGCCAGCTGAGATGTCAACGCCGCCGCGCCTGCAAGCGGAACTGAGACAAGTCCAGGCCCCAGCGAGATTCTGGATCGCATCGAGGCGGATCTTCGCGACGGCAGCTTCACCTTCGACGACGACTACACTGCGCCCTCGAGACCTTCTTTCCACTGGGACGTCCCGCTGATCTCGCTCAGCCAGGTCCGCGCGCGGCCATTCTCCACCCCCTTCAAGAGGCCATTGCGCATCGGCTTCACGCAGGGGGTCGCAGAACTTCCCATGACGCCGCCGGCGAAGCTGCGGCGCCTCAAGTGAGCAGTCCGTTTGACAGCCGTGCGTTCCTATTTGCGCGGTTTCCATAGTGAATTGCCGCGGTTCGCACACTCCAAGACATTCGCCATGCCCTTGTTGCTGCTTTGTCCGCTGAATGCCGTCGTCGTGCTGCTTCGTCGTACCGCTTTCGTTGGCCTTTGCTCGCTTCCCCGGGATATTCTCCCACGCCTGCTCGTCCGCTGTTTTCGGCCCCAGCGCTACCGTTGCTCATCTTATATCTGTCCACCGAAAACATTTCTCCAGCGCTGCCCGCGCGCGGCGGCGCGTCGCCTGCTGGCCGAATCAACTGCTTCCGCCGCGACGCCGGCCGCAATGCCGTCGAGCGAGCAGATCGACGCCTTCTTCCAGAAGCTCGAACAGGCAGCGCCCTTCCCAGAGGCCGAGCTCGCCGCCCTTGCGCCACCAGCCGTCGTCGAGGAGTGGAAGAGCATCGGGGCAACGCAGAGCGCCCCCTGGATATGGGCCACGCCGCGCGAGCTCTGCCTCGTGAGCTTTCTGACGCCCAACGCTCGCTTCACTCCGTTGGCGAGCTTCTTTGTGTTCTCGCTGAGCTGGATGTTCTTCCTGCATCCCGGCGCGCGCCACACGTCCAACCTTCTCCGGCGTTCATGCGTTGGAGCGCAACGTGCTTCATGCGTTGGAGCGCAAGGCCAGCGAGGCCCGCGCGGCCACGCGGACGCAGCTGCGTTTGCAAGCGTTGCCGAATCCAGCGGCCATGGCAGCGCTGAAGGAACGCTTGCAGAAGCTGCGTGACGTCTCCGGCTCGTTGGAGGGCATCGGCTTGCAAATGTCTTCCGACGCGTGCCGCGCGGCTGCTGGTAGCTCCCTCGTGGAGGGCGCGCAGTTCCTGCAATGACTTCAGCAAGAACTCGGACTCAACAAAGCCATGGCGACGCAGCTCTGGGAGCGCGTGGCGCGGCAGCGCGACGTTGTGAACTCGACGCGCTCCTTCGATGTGACCTACCCGTTCCTGGGAGTGCTCGGAGCGATTCATGTAGAGGACGTTTGGCACTTGTTCCCCCAGCCTGACCCGCTCGGCGCGCGCGGGCGCATCGGCCACATATACGCCCGCCCCAGCATGAAAAGGGCACGTGAGATCCGCGATGCAAGCGCTGAGCTCCAGAACGAGAAAGGCACCGACAAATTGGAGAAGCGCATCGTGAACAAGTTCTTCGCCGTCTACAAGGCCCACGCCATCGAGCACGTCGGTGAGGGCTCTTTCACGTATCATTTGGGCTACCCATTCCGGAACTACGACCTCCCCAGCGCGGACGGCGGTCAGGCTGAGACCGGGTTCTTCGACATGTTCGACGCGCACGCGCAGCAGCAAGTGGACGCGCACCTGGTGAAGCACGAGGAGGCGAAGAAGCACGGGAAGCTGAAGGGCAAGCACCTGCGCCACGCCCTCAACTGGGCCAACGTGACGAATGCTCTGGGGGACACGGCGTTCGACGCGTGGAACACAGCCATCGACCTCAACGCGATCAAGGCAGCCCAATTGATCGGGGATTTCTCCGAGAAGTTCGCCGAGGAGATGTCCAACGTGGCGCGCGATGCCCCAGCCGGCGGGGGGTCTCGGCCCCGGGCCGCGGGCATGCTGAAAAGATCCGCGTCACCTTGTCGCTCTCGCTGTCACGCTGCGTCGGGAGATCCCCATGGACCAGCGCGCCTTCACCAAGGCCTTTGTCATCGCCATGCTGAAGATGCAGACTATCTGGCTAGAGTCGACGAACCTGAAGGCGCACAGCGAGATCCGTGACAACTTGCCCGCCGCCAGCAATGACGAGAAGTTAACCGCCGCCTGGCGGTGCATGGCTCTCGTGAAAGCGCTGCAGCTCGGGCGCGCCGCCACGTCCACAAACCCGCACGGCGCCAAGAAGATGCACGTCGTGAAGCGCTCCGCCCTCGCCTCCGACGCGCACCGCCAGGAATTCGAGGCCGCGCTGAACGCTTTGGGCATGGAGCCCGGCCAGCACGCCGCGCCGACGGCGGAGGTCGCGGACGCAAGCCGCCCGCAGACGGCCCCCGCTCTGGCGCGCAGCGCCTGGACCTCGGAGGCAGCGCAGGAGGCGGTGACCACTCTCCAGCAGTGGTAGACTAGGCCGCGCGCGCGCGCCCTCGCCATCATTCGCCCTGCGGCCAACTGCGCCGGCGCGCCCGCTCTGCTCGCGCAGGCTTCGTTCCCCGCATTCCGCCCGCACAAGGCAAGAGCTTCGGCGGGCATGGTCTCGACTGCTTGTGTGAAGAAGCGATTGTTCACATTTCCCGCGCGTCTTTTTGCATCGATGAATTTCGCTTGTCTCCCTGCGTCGTTCCTTGCCCCTTTGTCGCCGGGCTCAACTATGCATGCGCCCGGCGCGCGCGCGCCCGCCATGGCGGCCGCCGCTGGACCTGGCGGCGCAGTCGGCGATGACGCGGCGCTCGCCGCGTGGTTGGGGCCGCTCCGCCCGAGGCATCTCGGCGTGCTGGCGCGAGCGCATGTCCTGAGCCACCCGGCTAGCCGCTGCTCGTACGCGCGCCGGCTGTTGGAGGGCGCCGGCCACGGGTGCGTGGCCGAGCATATCCTCGCCGACGTCTTCAGCAACCTTGAAACCCGGCTGCCCCACCTCCTCGGAGGCGCGCCGCACGTGGTTGGCGCCTCACTGCCAGAAGGCGTGCTGGTGGAACCTGCGTTGTCCGTCTGCCCAGAGTGCTCGTCGGTGCTGGACCCGCAGGAGCCTCGATCAGCGAAGGCGTACTTCTACGAGCACGGGTGGTGCGACGCGTGGTTCCGGACAGCGCGCTGCTGCACCTGCGCGACCTCTTTCTCCGGGGCATGGTCTTTCGGGTCATTGAAATGCACTTCTGGCAGAAGCGTCGCGTCGCCAGAGGACCGGGACTTTTTCCAGGTCGCGGCGACGCCGCGCGCCAATTCCAAGCTGTTCATCCAGACTAAGGCTCTCTGGATGGTCGGGGGCCACATTGTCCGCAGCCAGGCTGGCCTCAACGCTCTCGCCGACATTTTCGCCGATCTCTTCGGGGACTGCGCCCGGGGCACCAACGACCACAAGCGCTTCGAGTACGCGTGGATGTCCTTTAAGATTATGTCCATCTTTTGGCGTTCTGACGGCGCCGCGGCGCAGCGCCACCAGTGGCCCCTGGATTGCACGCACAACGCTTCCGAACTGCGAGGAGTCTACTTGGGCGTCCTCCCAGAGCTTCGCGCCTGCTTCCAACAGACGCATTCGCGCGACCACTCTTGCGAGCTGTGCCGCGTGCCCGCGGTCACGTTGGACGCGAAATACGGCATCGCCTGCCCCGTCTGCAACCGCCGGGAGGCCGGCCGCGTGTTCTTCGCGCCCATCCAGTCCGCGGTCTGCTTCGGATGCGAAGAGCCACCACTTGGCCACTCGTCTTATTGCAAGACGCACTACGTGGGCGCCGCCCCGGGCGCAGGTCACGCCGCGCGCGCGCTGCGCCATCGCGACCAGGACGGCGTGCGAGAGTACAAGTGCGACGGTAGCTCGCGGTGGCTGCCACGCTCGAACCTGCCCGAGCCCGCAGTGCAGGCATACGAGGAGTGGGCGGCCGAGGTGACGGCGCGGCGCGAGCGCCGCCGAGGGCACGCGGAGCCTGAGCAGGCGAGTTCCCATGGGCGATGCGACGATGGAGTGGATCCTCCCGATGGCGGCGACGCCGCGACATCTGAGCTCGACTTGCTCCCTGGCGACGTGAACCCGTGCAATGTCGACAAGGCGGCCAGCGTGCCGAGGCGACGCTATGGTGGGCTCCTGGTCTGCACACTCCCTTGTGGCAGAGCCTGCGACCTCTCCCCGCTGGCCGGCGGCGAGTCGCTCGCGCAGGTGCACGCGATGTTGTCATCGGTGATGAGCCAGAGAACTGTCGAGTATGTCTTGTATGACAATGCCTGCGCGCTGGCCCGCTTCGCGCGCCACGTGAAGCGGCCCTCCCGGACGGCCGCCGCGGCGCAGGTCCCTCTCCAGAAGTGCGTCCTCGACGCGTTGCATGTCGCGAACCACCGCGCGTGCGCGGACCCAGACCACCGCTTGTACATGCCAGAGGTTCAGCGGGACAGTCGCCCCGCGCTCGCCGGCGTCAACGCGCAGACGAGCGAGCAGTTCTTCTCGCGGCTGGACGGCCTCTGCCCCATCGTCCAGAAAATGGCGCCAGCTACTTTTAATGTGTTCTTGCTCCTGGTCTGCCACTGGTATAATCTTCTCGTGGTGGACGCGTTGGACCGCGCGACTCGCCCGCCGCGACGGCACGCAGCCGCAGCGGCGCGAGCGTCGCCGCCGGCGCCGCCCCCCGCGCGCACATCCGCGTCGGACTCAAGGCAGGCACCCTCAGCAGCACGCCTCGCCCGGAATCCCCAGGGGGCGGGGGTGTGGGGAGCCGGGAAATTTCCATTGGATAGTGGACGCTGCATCTCCGCGGACCCCTTGCCGCCGCGTGTCAACGTCAACGCTTGGCGAGGCATCCAATTTCAACACTCTGGAAATCCGCCGCGACCCGAATGCCGGCTTCTTCTTGCATCGTGCCACCGGGAAATGCGAAGTGTGCACGCTCTGCGCGCGGCTTCTATCTATTGGCGCTCGGCCACGTCCGCCCCCTCGCCGCAGTCCTATATCATGTGCGGGCGATTTTCTTGGGGACCATCTTGGTGTCTCTTGGGCAGCCTCTCGGGCGTTTCTTCGTCACCTTTCCGAGCTCACCTGGAGTCTTCTGGGAGCGTCTTCGAAACCTCTGCGGCCTTGCTGGCGATCTCGGGCCGCAAGTTTCACGAAGAGCTTCAACGCTCACTTCGGATTCCCTCTCTTGGGCCTCCCTTGACTGGCGAGACGCCCCTCAAACTCGGACGGCGAACTCGATAACCTCAGGAGGATACCCAACCTCTCACAAAGCTCTGCCAGCACGCCTCTACATGCAGC